TAATCAGCATTAATGCAAAGTTGTCTCTCTCACCACTGGGTTTTTGGAAAGCCTATATAGTTCTAATGTTTAAATATTCTAATGTTTAAATGCTAACATTCTAATGTTTAAATATTCACTCCAGATCTTTCAACAACCTGCTTTCTTTAAAGGAAGAACCAAGAACACTGAACAGTACTAATAACTGCATTGGAAAATCTGTTAATGAGCGCAGATATTCTCTGTGTGGACTTGATGATGACCCTTATCCTATCTTTTGTGAGACAGAATAACTCCAATTCTTTGCCAATTTCTTGCATCATTTCAAATGCAAATAATGTGAATATTCTTTCCTTTCAACACAACCACAGGGTACGAAGAAAGAGTAGACAACTCTAATTTTTTTCAGTCTGATAAAACATCAACAGAAAGGCCAGATTCAAAATCTTTTGAGTTACTAATCTGTACCAGAATCCAGAGGCCAGAGGAGGTTTAAAATATGCAACCATTGCTACAGGACCAGAGTAACTTATGCCTAGCTGTGGATGGAGCTATCACTGCCTTCAGTGCTGCTGTGGCAAGCCAGCAGGATTTTATAGGGTCTGGATGGAGAAAAATAATTGCCCCAAACTGGACCAAGAGACACTCCCGAGACAAAGGCAAGATGCGCTATTTCCTTTATTCAGCACTAGATGCACAGGGACCCAACACCTGGACACCTTGGTACACAGCAGATACATGGTTAGACTTTGTGCATATTCATCTCTTTTCCTTTGAAAAGGTGTGGTTATGCAAGCTATGTCTTAAAACTCATTACTGCCATTAGCGTACGTGCGGCACAGCAGGCGCGGCGCAGCCGGGCTGTGGCACTGGGAGCTCCTGCATCTTCCTCCGTGCTCCCCTGATGAAGGCTGGAGATCTTCCTCGCCGTGCCCTGTGCACCTTTCTAGGCGTGCACAGTCTCTTGTGAACTGCTTCAGCAATTTCCTCACTGGTTTCAGCAAGCTCTGGCCTTCATTCTTGCAAGTTCTCTTCCCTTTTCTTGCCAAGTTTCATCCTGCGTCTCTAGTTTTTGAGGGATTTTTTCCCACTTCTATGTTGGTTACAATGTATCTTATTTTAGCCCAAATAGATGCCTAGGCACAGTGCTTTTAGCCCTTTCAAATATTCACAGGACAAAAAAAACTTTTGTTTTGCTGCTTAGCATTTTAAATTTAATACATTTTAATTACAATTAAATTTATTCAAATGTTAATTACTATAATACAAATTTAATACCATTAAATACAGCTTATTACAATTTAACTTTAAACAAATACAACTTTTGTTTGTGAAAGTGAACCCAGATAGAGGCCTGAGGCTGAGAAGCAGGCCTCAGTTAAAGCTGACTTTTAAGATGTGTCACTGATGCTGGAGACAGACAAGCAACAAGAAGACACACTGAATTCACACAGCAACAGCAGATTTTATTGATGTGCACCCCCTTTCATAGGGGCTTCAGATTTCCTGTGCTTACAGATGCAATTGGGTAAGGGTCTTAATTCCACCCAGCTCACTGGCCAAGGGTATGGGTACATTCATGGTTTAAAGGGGTTGGCTGGGGTCCCCTGTTTGAGTTTGAAACCGACCTGTCCTTAACATGCTCAAGGACTTGTTTACTTTTTATTCTGTAAGGAGCTAGGCTGGTCGAGTGAGTGTCTGTCAATACCAATCTACCCGTGCAGCTACAGACCAGCTATAGCTGTCACAAAGATGAACTCCTGGCATTATGTGACTGACATCATCACTTTATTTATTTATTATTTAGCTAAAAATAGATGGCTGAGATATGCAAGAAATGCTATATGCAAGAAATGTATAATTTTAAGAAATTTTCCCCACTGACATGAATAGAGGCTTGTTCATAGGATATTTTAGGGGAAACTCTTCCAGACAAGGCCTGGACACTGGCCAAGTCTTGGCCTCTGCTAGTCGGGAAGTGTGCCATCAGAGCAAGGTGTTTCTGTGCTAAAAATGTGATGAAGTCACTCTCACTTGGTGATTTGAGCCCATAAAACCTGGACCCACTTTCAGGGTGATTTTGGAGACCTCAACTACAGGTGGATGCACCATGTGGGATTTTCCCAGTTGCTGGGAAGAGCTCTCCAGCTCCTCTCTTTGAAATGGGGCTCCACAGCAACTCTGGATGCACTCTGGATGATGGTAAAGTGTTTAGGCCATTGGTGATGGATCTTTCTCAATCATTATCTTGTCTCTCATATAGTAATGAGATTACCTTGCTTGTTTTTGCTTGCTGCTGAAGCCAAGCATGTAGTATCGTTTTACTTTTCTGTTGCCTTAATATTCCTAGTAAAATATGACCTTTCTTTCCATTGGTGTCTGTGTCCTTTAAAACACCCCTGTCAATTGCCAGAACAAAGGCCTAAGGCCTACTGGAATTAACATTTCTTAGACTTGTTGAAGTTTCCTGAGGAATGGTTTGTGTCCCTCATCTTTTTCAACAGCTACAATAGCCCCTGTCTGTAGAAAAGAGGAACCTAAGCAAGAATCTTGAGTTTCCTGAAAAGAACAAAGCGCTTGGACAGCAAGCAGCATTCCCACAAAACTAGCAGGGTAAAAATCCCAGCAAACTGAAGACACCTTAATGAATGGATTAGTGGCATTATGGGCCATGTTTGCCTGTGATTGCTGTGTTGCCTTTTTCCCAATCTGAAAATGAAAGGTGAGATACTTTTAGTAAGGAGGTAATATAAAAGTGGATCATTATTTCAAGGTTTTCAGGGGCAGATATGAAAAGATGTCCACAAAAGTCCACTCCCTCTAGGGATGAGTACATATTTATAGGTTTTAGGAAATTAGCATAATTTATAAAAAACACCAAATAGGAGGACCAGTGATAATGCAATTCCCTCCAAGGTCAAATCCCTCTCTGGAGTCCCCCCCTTGGCACTGGCTGTACTTTGTCCATGAAAAGGCAGCTCAAAGAATTGCTCTGGACCTTGGTTCCCAGGAAGAACCAAGAGAGCACTGAGGCCTTGTACCTTGTGAGGCTTGGAGCTCTGGAATTTGTTTTGTCTTTCTGCTTAGGGAAAGGCCATGGAGAATTACTGGGAAAACTAATCACTAATACAATAGGCCACAGAGCAACAAATATATGTGTGAAGAGTATAAAAATCGTATAAAAGAAAAAAGGAAAAACCTAAATGGCAACAGCAAGTTCTTGGGCATGAACACATAGGTTCAGATGGTCTTCTCAGCCCTATTTCTCCACATTTCTGGGAACCAGGGGAATCCTGCTTGAGTCTGTGGAGAGATGGGTTTGGGAAGTAAAAGTGCATTTCTTCTTTTCTCCTTGGAGCAGCTCCTGTTCCTAACATCAGTTGAGCCTCTCTCTAGCCTGGTGCCTCTGACTGTTGCATCAAAACTATTTATGGCATACAGAAGACACTGACATTTCCAGGAATATGGCTTTCTCCAGTGCCAGTGATGAGTGGGAGTCAGAAAAAAACCTCTTATTAACCACAAATCCATTGGAAGATTCCATTTCTTTTCGCTGTATGAATAACTACATTCACTTCTGAATTGTCAGTTGTTTAAGTATGAGAAGTTCTCTTTTATGATTTTTTTAACGTGGTTTGGAATTGGATAAGGGTCTCGTTCATTCACAAACTCTAGACCAAACTGCCTTTGGAATACGGCCCACTAGGCAGTTTTTGCCCAGCCATGGTACTTCTACATAAGAAAGCAAGGGCAATGGTATTTGCAGCCAAAACCCAATAAAGTGTGGGAAAGCCAAAACATCCTGTGGAGATACAGGCCTCCAGCTGTTACTAGAAATCAATAGAGCTCCTGCCTATTTCTAAGTGTATTTCTAAGTGCAATCTGTTTAACTGGATGAGAGTCTTGCTCAACTGAAAAAGCAGAAAGATCAGCAAGGGTGCTCCCCAAGGCCCATCACATCCTTTTTATTTTGCTCATCTGTCTTAAGCTGGGAACTAAATGTGTGTCTGCAGTTGAGCTGATGAGAGAAAAAAAAAAAAAAAAAGGAGACTCATGGCAAGGCTGTGACATTATACAAGAGGAATTAGTGGTGTACATTTCATGGACCCCTCTCAACCCTATTAAAGTATTGTAGTCCTGGTTTAAAATAGACAGGTATGAAACAACTTTGAGAGACAAAGACTAAAAGGGCTTGTGGATTTTATTTAAGAATGAAGAAAACTACCCAAAAGATGTTGTTTTATAACATTTTAAAATACCTTTCATAAAAATTAACAACTGCAATAAATAAGAGTTTTAAAAGTGTTTTGGTATATGAATAATTAGAAACAAAGAAATGTGAAGAAATGAATGCACATTTTCATAAAAATTTGAAATTACAGACAAAAAGATACACTGAACTACAATACAAAGGTAGGTAAAGCTGAACTTTAATTAGCTCTTTTTACATTTCTAGAGCTTTTGCCTTCTGAAGAGAAGCTAGGATATTCTTTAAGAAAACTGTCACAGCCAAGACTCCAACAGTAAAATTTACTGATTTCATCTGGGGCTGGACGAGATATCCTGGCTGTAAGATCTGAACGAAGGCAAAGAATTGGCTCTGCGTGGTCTGAAACTGAAGGACGTGTTGTCTGAAGACCCTGTCCTGAAGACCCCTAAAGTTCCATCCCGTGTCAAATAGGAGGGTGTGAACACTGAATACACAGAATTACTGCATGGCCTGTAACAGGAGGAGCTGTCCAGTCCTGAGGCAGCGTGGATTACACTTGGCGTAACGTTGACGAAAGTGCCCGATAATGGTCCATAACCTGTTCTGCCTGGTGGCAGACTGTAAGCTCTGCTGCTGGCAGACATATAGTTTCTGTAGGGTGGCTCACCAGGGATTGAGTAAATTACAGGCCCAGCATAGGTTCTGTCGTGTATCACATCAGTGGTTAGGTCAGTTGCAGGTTGCCACCACCCAAAATCTTGGCTGTAACTCCAGTCAGGCTGACTTTCTGACCCGTATGTAAAATGTTGATGTGTAGGCTGTCTCCCACACGCTGGAATTAAAAAACAAACTAATCAAGAGAGTATCTACATTTGCTGTTAAATACCTCTCACAGAGAGTGAAGTACTTATAACTTATGTTTGCTTCTTGTCCTAGGTGCTTATTTGAAGCAATCGGCACCTGAATACAGATATTAATCTTTATTTGACAAAGGACAATAGCATAGGTGTCCTGCCCTAGAAAGTGTTGGAAAACAACAGCACTTTTTTTCAAGTGCTACAAATACTTTCCAACATCTTTTACCTCTCATCGTTATAACTCCAAGGCTGTGTTTTTAAATCAAGTAAAAAAATTTATTCTACAGTCTCCCTTTCACGTTATTAGGAAGCACAGGCCCTGTTAGCCACAGAAAGGAGTCCTTTACATTTGAGCATATTTCACCATCAATTGACATCAACACTTCATATTCTTCAAGTATTAGTCAGGCATATTGTTACAGGCAACATTTAAATAAAATTACTGTTATATTCAAATATGTTACAATAGTCTGACAAGTTAAAAGTTCACATACGTAGAATACTGAGTACCAAACAATTTTTGCACAGAAAAGGCACTTTCTTTACCAAATAGCAAGTGTGGGGTTGAACTACTGTGATTCTGAACACCTTGTCCTAGGTTACATAATGTGATTTATAATATAAGCTTCATATTGTTATTATTTTAAACTGTGTGATTTATACTATTTGGTTACAAGTATTACTTGTTTAAGCAAAGTCACCTGATAAGGAGAGCATTTATACCAGGATAGCTGCATTCCTTGGCTATGCAGTAATGTTGGCAAGCGATGCCCAGTTGATTAAAATCAGATAAGAACTGCAAATTCTCCAGTAAAAAAGTAGTTTCTGGGAGACATCACTGCTTAGCGTATTCAGCATTACAGATATTTCCAGCTTGGTAAACACTGTTAATATGCTTTTCTGGTTTTGCCTGTGCTGATACAGACAAATATTGATACATTTTTTCATGTCTGCGATCATCGCAATAGTTGGAAAATTCTGTTTTGCGGCCTATCTGTGTGGGTTTTCACGGGTTAATTTTTGGTGAGGAGGGAAGAAGCCAGCCATGGAAGTGATATTTCTGTGAGGAGCTAAAAGCTTCCTTTGTGCCTGGCAAAACCAATCACTGTCTGCCTTTGAGAAGAGGCACACTGCTAAGCCAATTACAAAAGCGGGTAATGCTTCTATGATAACTTATTTACAAAAGACAGAACCTTGGGAACTCTCTCTTTCTTCCCTGGAGGGGTTGGCAAGCAGCAGAACCCTCCCAGTCCGGGGCGGGCCACGTGGCCAGGACCACACGGCCAAGATTGGCACAGCCAGGGTGGCACCATGGGGCCACAGCTATCTTGGGGTGGCTCACAAGTAACTTTATTTGTTCAGCCAGACATGCTGTGAACAGAAGGGCACAGTGGTGGCAGCTGCTTTGTTTTTTCCTTTTCTGCATTCAGCTTGAAGAAAGGTGTTGAGTGGACATGGGGCTGGTGGGAATCACACAATGGCTGTGAGAGACATGGTGAGCAATTCCCCAGGGTGGAGACCAGATGGGATCAACCTTTTAATGCTGCAGAACCCTATAAAAACTTTTCAACTGATAGAACTTGAGAACAAGTGAACCTATGGACACCAATCCTCTCCCAAGTCAGAGAAAGGAAAAAGGAGGAGAACAACATGCTGACACTTAGGTCGGTGCAAAAGAGGGAGGGGGTGGAAGAGGACTTTGCTGTGGGCCTTGGAGCTGAAATTCTCCTGCAAGCCATGGTGAGGACTACAATAGAACAATCTATTTCCCTGTAATTCATTAAGTGCATGGGGGAATGCAGAATTCACCCACAGCCTGTGAGAAAATGGTGCTCACGCTAGATTGTGTGGATGCTGAGAAGCTGTGATCTGGTGAAAGACTTGAACTGAGAAATCTTGCTTCCAGAAATATAAGAAAAAGACCCTTGCTTTTACACTACAACAGCTGATCCTTAAAAATGAAACCCCATGAACTAAATGGCTCATGAAAAGAAAGCAGCTGTGGGAAAATTGCTTTGCCCATGTGAGGGACTCACATTGCAGCAGATTTGGGCAGGACTGCTATGCCTAAAAACTAAAAACACGTTGAAAAGATTCACAGAGAGCTGTCTCTCGTGGGAAAATCCCCATGGCATAAACAAAGACTCCTCTCCTGAAGAGAACTGAA